CTCTGCGCCCCTGCCCACCAGCCCTCCCCCAGGGCTGGGCACTGAAGCCGGCCCTTCCCCACCCCCGCCTCCCCACTGGACTGGCTGACTGGCAGGGCACCGCTCCTGCCAGCCTGGCGCTGGCCTCCTCAGTCCCCTGCTCGGAACTCCCCGGCCTGCCTGCCTCGCCCACGGTTTGCTGAGTGGCTCAGTTCTCCTGGCTCTGGGGTTCAAGGTTGAGCACACTCAGGCCTGTCTGGCCTCCGTGCCCACAGGGCGCCTGGACTGCTGACTCACTCGTGGCCACAGGCTGGGACTCTGTGGCCCTGCTGCCTGGGTCCCCTTCTCCACCCTCCCCCGGGTCTCGGTGGACTTTGCGGAAGCCCCGGGCTGCCTGCTGTGCCCATCACGCCCCCGCCTCTGTCCTGCACGCCTGTGCCCATCCTCCATCGCCCCTCTGCCCGGCCTGCTGGCGCTGGTGCCTGAGCTGTCATGCTGGCCGGCCTGGGGGGACTCCAGGAGCTTGGGCAGCGGAGAGAGTGGCCCCCAGGGAGTGACACACACCAGGATCCGTCGCCCTCATAGGACATTCTCGTGTCCCCTGTAGTCGTGCCCTAATAAGATGACACTTGTTCCTTCTCATTCCTGTTCCCTCCCCGAGGGCCTGGCCAGGGCTGCACAGGAGAACCCAGGCTTTGGCGCGGCCTGGGGTGCTTGCTGGCAGCGTGTCTCGTCGCTGGTGTCGCCCCTCCTCCAGCTCCATCCTCCAGCCCATCCTCCATCGCCCCTGTGCCCGGCACCAGCCCAGGTGTCAGTGCCACTGCCGGCCATTGGGCCACTGCCATTTTTCTAAAACCACCGCAGCGAACGGCATCTGGACAGGCCTGACTCCCGCGCCTCAGCGCACATGTGCACAGCGGGGTGACGGAGCCTCTTCTGATGCATGTGTGTTCTCTCTGAAGCGCCACTGGGCCACCAGTGGGGGAAGCCCCAGCAAGGCTGAGAGGCTGCTCTGAGTGTGAGTGTGAGTCTGTGTGTGTGTGTGTAAGTGGGGGTGGTTCCCCGACTGCAGTCTGGAGAGGTTAAAGTCACCACACCCTGCCCCGAATCCACAATGCCTTGGACCTTGTGGGCTGTCCTGCTGTGTCAGGCGGCAGCTGGCCACCTCCAACGCCCTCCCTGTACCTGGCCCCCGGGGACCAACATTTCAGCGGCAGCTCTGGGTGTCCCCCCTGGCTCATCCATCCTCCCCAGGATGGATGACTTCCCTGGGCTGCTGTAACAGATGACCGTGAGCTTGGCGGCTGAAAACCACAAATGTATTCTCCCAGAGGCCAGAAGCCCAAAGCCGGGGTGTCGGAGGCCGGTTCCTTCTCGGGGGGGTCGGAGGGAGAGTCATGCCGTAGACCCCTCCCCGCTGCTGGTACGCGCGTCGCCCCATCTCTGCCCACGTGGTCACGCAGCCTTCTTCCCACACCCGTGTCATCGCATGGCGGTCCCCTGTCTGTGCGTCTGTGGCCGAACCTCCCTCCTCTTACAGGACACTGGCCGTTAGCTTTGCGGTTCACCCCACATCGAGGACGGTCCCGTCTCGAGATTCTTAACTGTATCTGCAAAGATGGCATCTCTGAGCAAGGTCACAGTCACAGGTAGCTGGGGGTGAGGACTTCGACGGATCTTTTTGCCCTACGAGCAAACCCCACGCCCCCGCCCGTCCCCAGACTGCCGGTCGGCGAGCGTGCGGTGCAGCCTCCTGCCTCACGGAGGCGTCGTGTCTCACCGGTTCCCACGGCTGCAGGTAAGCGCGTGTTGTCTGGACTGGCCAATGTCCACTGCGCTCCCACGAGCCCCTGGGGAGCGTCGGTGCTGCAGGTTGGGGGGAGTCAGTGGTGGGCTCCCTCCCTATGGAAACGCACACCGAGGCCGTCACGCTGGGGGTCACTGGGTGATGACCGGGACTCATTTACCAACGATAATCCTTGATCGTGGGAAAAAAAATCTCCAGAACTACTTGTTGTAAGAAAGCCAACTTCCTGTCACGATTGTCACTGAGAAATAAAGGCAGGAGTTGGGACAGAGAACAAGACCCAGGAGTGCCCTCGGGGATGGAAGGTGAGCGTGTGGAGCTGCGGGCTTGGGGCTGGAGGACTACCCCAGGGGGGTGTGAGGCCAACAGCTAGAGGGAGCGGCTCCAGCCAGGCCCCGGGCGGCCATGGCCTGTGGCCGCAGGGGGCACTGGGAATGGGGTGCTCTGGGCTGCGTGAGGAGGCTGGGGCCTTTTGGCCGGGAAGAAGAGGAGGCTGGCCCTCAGCTGTTTTCATCACTCCCCCAAATGCTTCGGGTCTTAAGGAAGGAGCTGGAGACAGGAGTGGGGGCGGGGAGGCACACCACTGCAGCGGACCCCCCAGTCTGAATCGGGGCAGGGCCTCCAGCCTTCTCTCCCAGGTCCCGGAACCCCTCCGGCCCTTATGTGCACTGCCCAGGCCCTGGCCTCTGCTGCAGGACAGTGACCACCCACCCTGTCCCCCTCCCAGGCTCTCTGGTGGCTGTACCACAGATGGCCGATGGTGGAAGAAAAGCCCCCCACCCAAACCAAGGGTCGCAGCAGAGGCTACACCTGAGCAGGGCGGGGGGCGGGGGCTGGGGGCTGCCTCCCTGGGGGGATAAGCGCTCCCAGGCTGTTAGAGCCACCACCAGGCTGCAGCCCGTGACCTCAGGCAAATAGCCCTGCCACCACAGCCCCCTTTCAGCAGGCACAGGCGTCCTCCCCGCCAGTGGCGGTGACGGGTGGGCGCATGCTGTGTGACAATTCTAGAGCATTTCCCTCGGCGGACCGGGCCTCCTCTGCACTCCCCGCCCAGTGGGGCTAACGCCCGAAGGCCCGAGACCCCAGCTACGCAGGCGCCTGTCCCGATGGACACACATACGCTCTGGGGTCAGAGCCCCAAGTGGAGGGGCCTCTGAGGGCTGCTGAGGCGTGAGGACAGAACGAGGGGACACCAGCGCCGCCTCCGCCCCAGGTTGCGGACGTCTGCCCGGCGGTCTCCGTGAACCCGGAACGGGGTCGGCTCGGTGCGAGAGAGAAGGGCAGAGACCGCGGGGGTGGGGGCGAGAGCCAGGTAACTGGCAGGCCAGCCCCGGGGCCCGCTCCCTCACGTCCTCCAGGTCTGGGAGGATGAAGCAGCCTCTGGTCCATGTTTCTTGTCACAGGGTAGTCTGATGCACATCCTGGGTGCCAGGAACACCTCCCAGGCAGAAGGGGGCTCGGCCCACAAAGGTACCCATGAAAACCCTGTTAGCCATCACTGCGACTTTCAGGATGTGAGAAATTTAGGACGGCAGCATTTGGATAGCAGGGAATGGCACCAGGCCACCTGCATTTGATGCTGCAGCCCGGAAAGGAAACAGCTACAGGACAGACGTCGCTGGGCAGCCCCCCTGCGCGGGGCGCCGCTCCGCCCCTACCTGCATGGAGGTGGACGCGGCCTCCAGGAACTGCTCGGGCTTGTCCTTCCTAGGGTTAAATCTGTCCAGTTGCTCGATCACAGCTTTGATGCATTTTCCATAGTACGCCATCTTTCCAGGGAGGGACCTAAAGCAAACAGGTACCTGTCACACCCTCCACGGCCTCTGGGCTGTCAGCTCCGCCGGTGGCGGCAGTGGCTGCAGGACCCTCACCAACACCAACAGGAAGCCTCAGGGATCCAGGACCCCGCATGGGGAGGAGTGACCCGGGCCCACTTCCTGGACTGCGTCCCTGCAGGCCTCTGCTGCCCCCACGTGCCCCCAGCCCTACAGCTGTGCACAGGCGGGGATGAGCCCCAGAAGTGCAAGTCAGAGAGAGGGCGCCTTGTGAGCTGGCCTCAGAGCTCCTCAGCCCAGGCGAGGTTTGGCCATCATCAGTCAACATGCCCTGCCTGGGGTGTGTGCGTGTGCACGTGTGCATGTGTGTGCGTGTTCGTGTGTGTACGTGTGTGTATGTGACCTAACCACGGAAAGCTGGGGTGAGAAGAATCTTGGGCCACCAAGTTAGACACCCCCATTTTAAAGAGGAGGGAGTGAGCCCCAGAGGGGGTGCACAGCCCGCAGTGTCCAGGCCTCACGTGGGCTCTGAATGTCACAGAGACATGAATTTGAGGAGGCTGGTGTGCCTGGGACCCCTCTCTGGGAGACCTTGGAGAAACTGCTTGGATTGGGGCTGGGAGCCCAGAAACTGGGCCTAACAGGTGGTCCCCAAATTGCCCTCAGAGGAGGATGGCCAGGCCCACGAGGGGTTCCCTTCCCATCCCCCGCTTGTTACACGTTGAGCACACTCTGGGCTCCCTGCTGCTGGCCTTTCTGGACACCAGCTCTTAGCTCCAGATAGCAGCCCCCAAACTGGTCAATTCCCCAGCTTCCAGCCCCATCACTTTAAAAAGAATGAAGGCCAAAAGCCACCAGGCACTTTGGGGTGGGACAGGCCACATGGCTAGCAGGACATGCACTATCTCTGCAACAGCACCGGCCCCTGTTTGTGGCTCGAGGGGGTGGGTTGCCCACTCAGCCCCACCTCTCCTCTGCCAGGGACTACTGGCTGGACCATGGGGCGGTCCCCACCCTGTGACGTGGGCAGGGCGAGGTGAGGTGGGCATGAGGCAGAGGTGAGAGGGGGCAGAGGCCTCCTCGGGAGGCTGTGGACGCTGTGGAGTGCTGCTGGCTGGAGGTCTGGGTCTGCTGGGCAACTGGGGACAAGTGGCTTAAGCTCTCTGAGCCCTGGGGAGGGTTGTGGGCGGGAAGGCCCGACCCCTCAGCCTGGGCCCTGACCTTGCTGCCCGCTTTGGGTGGGTTTCTGCCCTACCCACTCCTCATCCTGGTGGTCCCGCCCTGGCTTGGATCCCCTGCTCCCCCTGCCCACTGTGGCCCTGGGGTCGCCCTCTACACAGAGGACCTGTCCCGCTCCTGCGCCAGCAGGATGTTGGGGGTCTCCCCCGGAGTCTGTGAGGCAGCGCTGGGGGCGGGGCCGGGCTCAGGGAACGTCTGCCGGGCTGTCTCAGTCCCCCACCCTAGGGCTCCGGGGCCCTGCAGAGAATGTGCTCTGGCGAAAACTGAAAAGAGGCGACCTCCGCGGCCTGCACTCTGCGCCGGCGCAGCTAAACGGACGAAAGAACAGGTAAAGGCCACAGAAGGTGCTGGTCCCACGCTGACCTCCCTCCGGCGCCATCGGAGCCTTGCGGGTGCCCTCCGCCGAGGGCAGGGCCCCTCATGTCTGATTACCTGGTTCACGCAAACCTTCTCCCGCGTCCCCGGGACATTCGCGGTGAGGCCCGCCCAGTCCTGCGGCGCTGACCGGCCACGCCCCCTCCCCAGGCCGGGGGCCGCCCCCATCCCCCTTCCAGGCTGGTCTTCCTGAGGCCGCACAGCGTGGGGCTGAGCCCCGGGGGCGGGGGGCTGGGAGGTGCGGGAGGTCAGGGGAGAAGGAGGTCAGGGAGCCCCCTCCCGCCCCGTCCACCACTAACAAAGCCCCCGCATTTCCGGGCGCGGGACCAGTGGGGCCCCCTCAGCATGTGCGCCCTTCACAAGCCAGATCACAGTCCTGGAGCCCTCCCTCCTTC